GCAGGAGACTACACCCCATGCTTCCCACACAGCTGCTGTCGACGTTGCCATGAAAATAAGGCATTTCTGATTGATAGCATGGAAATATCGATCTACTCCCCTCCCCACCGTTAACTTCATGAAAAGAAGAGCATCGGAATGGTCCCATCATCAACGTGTCTAAGGAAGACCGCCATTTCAACGGTTACGAAGTTTCTTCTCCGTTCTTCCATGTTTCATTCAGAATTAAATAGCAAAAAGTTTGTTAAAGGTAAAGTTAGTGAAAAGAACTTAATGGCTGATGAACGCCTCGGACAATGAATGAAATTCTAAGGCTGGGCTATTATAAAGTGTGAAAAAAATGATCCCTTGAAGATGTGACATGTTGCCACTGAAGAACTTTTCTTTTCGAGCCGCGTAGTCCCTTAATTATTGGAAATATCTGAATGGAAAGGAGTTTCCAATGTTTGCTGTGCGTCACGAGACGATTAAACTGAATGGCCAACGTTTCGATGCAAGAAAATGCTAGCATTCATTTATCCAGGGAGTTATCCGGTTTGCCATCCGGCCATGGACTGTCTTTCCCATGGCCTTACGTAGAGAGTCAAGCGTGCGAATTCATTTTTGCATCCTTACCATCGCAGGTATCGCCTCATCAGTGACAAAAGGGACATCCGACGGTTGAGGATATTTCGGACGGCTATGTTGCAAACGTTGTTAAGCCTCGTACAACCAGTAACGCTTCGAAGGAACCGCATTTTTGTCACTTATGTTCGGTATCTAACAGTCATGGCCACTGATGAGGATTCGCATAGCATAGTGTTCATATCTTCTGGTTCTGCGTTGGAGCCGTAAGGTTGCTAGAAAGCGTTGTGTACCGCGGTAGATATTTCAAGCAGCGCTGAAATTGCCCATCGTTGGAATGTCAGTGAAAGGAAACGCATAATAACAGAATACACCAATAAAAAACAGTACACTCTCACGCCAAAAAATAACTCTTGTCATTAAGCCCAGTTTTATCAACTGGTTAACATCCGTTAACATTCGGCTTGGTTAATAATACGTCATATCATAAGCAGACTGACATTATTAAAAATCAAGGATTTATATAAACTTTTACTTGAAACTTCGGCATTGTGGATTAATTAGCAAAGCGCTACTTTCCAATGAGGCCGACATGAATAACGACCTCTTGCTTTTCATATTTACAGGGCGTAGTCGCACCGACCCGTTGCTTCCAGTTCCCTAGAGGTCCAATTTAACAGGTCGCAGATCCACGGTATTTCAGCACCTGCAGTGTCAGATACATCTCGTATTATTTTGTCTGCTAGGGCAGCCTCATGCTTGTCATCAGCGACGTTTTGAGAGCCGGTGATTGTAATAAGTTACCTTATAAACATTAAAATATTGTCATGCTCTGAGCGAGTTCGTTAGCCGGCGTATACCTCGTCCAGGACCAGATTACACGATTCATTGTATTCCATATTGCTTCACTGTATTTGAGCCATGCAATGCTTGACGCATCTCGCATACTTGGTTTTGATAATATAACTGATGATAGGTTAAGTGTATGCTAAGCGCCAAACACACACTTAACCTATATTTCTCTAGCAATTAGTTGTCGGAAATTTATTAGCCTCTTGAATTGTCAGGCTTTGAAACGCCAGTTATTAATCTTTCTTCGTCGATGGGAAATAGCTATAAAATAGTGCAACTGCTTGCTGTTATCTCGTTAAGAATTCT